CGGGCAGTGGACAACTTGTAGCTGCCAGGACAGTTCCGTGCAAACTCAGTATCACTTAGTGCTGACAGCTTCCCACCTCAAGTGGGCACGTAGGTCCCAGGGAGCCCTCTCAGCATGGAAGCGGGGGTGGGGAGTATCACGCCCGTAGGGGACCATGCTGGGGCCTTGGGAAAATACTCCAGCCCCGTCCTGAGTGTGGTTAGTCCTGGGGAGCATTCAGCACGTTTCGAGAAGCCTTTGCACACAGCAGCCGTCTCAGTCCACACCCCAATCACGGCTTCCTCCTTTCCTGTGTCACCCTTCCTGTCCCTCTCCTGCTTCCAGGGATCCCCAGCTAAATACGCCACCTGCCCCAAGTCCTGTCGCAGGCTCTACTCTCAGTACAAACGAAGGAAGCCTCTTTCAAAGGCTCTAACCAACAGACCTCTTTCCAGGTGCCCTTCCCAGCCCGCCGTTTCCTCCCAAGCCCACTTCTCCACTTCGGCCAAGTAAAGCACTGTACTATGCTTGATTTGGTTCACTAGCTCCTAGCTCCTGTCCTTGGGTCTGACCACACCTTCCCTGACGCCCCTCTGCTCCATCACTAACCTGCGCTCACTGCATCCTCACAGCGGGGCCAGGGACGTGTTCCCTACGCAGCTGCCCTTCTCGGCACCCGCTGTGCTCTGCACCCCGCAATGACTCCTATGCCATTCACACCCCAGCGTCTCTGAGTATGCCTGCGTTCTGCACCCTGTACACAGAATCTGGTGGAGAAATGAGGTGATGGTTCACCACTCTTCCTCCTGAAAATTTCTCTTCTGGCAACTTGTTGCAATTGACAAAAAACAAGCCCCCTAGCCCCCCCCCCAATAAACTTCCTACAGGCTCAGTAACAACAGCCAACAGCTAAGGGAGCAACACTTGTATTGAATAAAAATAAAGGAGAAATGCGTTTCAAAAACGTAATGTTTGCTTTGAGCATGCATCTTGACAGCATCAAAAGCACTTTCTCTGATAAACTAATCTCCCCTCTGCTTCTCTCCTTGCCCCCAGAGACTCCTCTCATTTTTATGATCAGCAAAGCATCTGCCTGGAAGTGGGGGCAGTTTGCTGATTAAATGCTTTTTAGACAGTTAACAAATATTTACCAGGTGAATACTTTCTACAGCTCTTGGTGCAAGGGTCTGTGGGAGAAGTAGATTAGTGACTTAGTGACGATTAGTGACAGTCTGGGTCTTCCTCTCACATACCCTTCTCCGTCAGCTGGTGGCCTCCGTTCCTCAGCCCACGTGAGGGCACTGCCCTCTGCTCTCCCGGCGCCTGCTCTAGCCCTTATTCTCCGAGGCCTCTACTTGAACACTGCTCACGTCTGGCCCTCCATGGCCCAACCCCCCTAACCCCTCAACCCATGGGGCCACTTCCATTGAAAAGTGCCACCATAACCTTCCTTTCCACAGAACCTTCAGCAGCTCTCATAACAAATCATCCCAATATGTGGGGCTCCAAGCTACCAACCTGGAAACTTCAGCTGCCTTCTCTCCGCTCCCTCACTGCACACCTTCGGTCCTCAAGTCCCAGGGCTCTGCTTTGGAAATTTCGTACTTCCCTGTCCGTCCCCGCTGCAATCACCCTCATTCGTTTGCTGGTTCCTGGGCTGTAGGTTTCTGCCATCCCAGGTCTCCAGGGCCCTGCGTGCTCTCTGTAGGTTCCATCCTCACCGTTCTGAGGTGGCCAAGTATTGTTTGGGTAATTTGAGCCCCCTCACTTTGGTATTAGATGCATTTTCCACCATCTGGCCCCACCCACTTTCTAGTATGCACCCCATGATCCCCTACAGGCACCTCCATTCAGGGAAGCTGGACCATTCTGTCACCTTAAATGTACTCCACCAGCACTACACCGCATATTTCTAGAATAGCTCAACGTCACTTCTTTTTATTATTATTATTATTATTATTTTTTTATCCTCACCCGAGGATATTTTTCCATTTTTTGTACAGATAGAGTGGGAGGGAGAGAGAGGAAGGGAGAGAGAGAGAGAAACATCGATGTGAAGGGACACATCGAGTGGCTGCCACCCGCACGACCAACCAGGGCCGGGGACAAACTGCAACCAAGGTATGTGCCCTTATTGGGAACCGAACCCGGGTCTCTCCGGACCGCAGGCCGACGCTCTAACCGCTGAGCCAAACTGGCCAGGGCTCAACGTCACTTCTTCTAAAAAGACTCCTTTGACCTTGCTGCCTCCCTTGGATTCTTAGGTAGTATCTCCCTATCACTATTTCTTAAAAAAAAAAAAAATATATATATATATATATATATATATATATATATATTTGTTTATTATTGAGGCATAATTGACATAACAGTTTCAGGTTTACAACATAATGATTCAATATTTGTATATATTGTAAAATGATCACCACAATCAGTCCAGTTACAAAGATCTTTTGTTTCTTGTGATGAGAACTTTTCAGTTCTCTGTTAACAACTTTCAAACATGCAATACAGTGTTATTAACTATAGTCACCATGCTGTACATTACATTCCCATAACTTATTTATTTTAAAACTGGAAGTTTGTACCTTTTGACCTCCTGCACCCAATTCTCCTACCCCCATTCTCACCTCTGGCAACTGCTAATCTGGTCTCTGTATCAATGAGCTTTTTTGTTTGTTTGTTTTTTAGATTCCACATATAAGTGAGATCATAGGGTATTTGTCTTTCTCTTTCTGACTTATTTCACTTAGCATAATACTTCCAATGTCCATTCATGTCCCAAATGGCAAGATTTCTTTCCTTCATTTTTTTTTTATGGCTGCACAATATTCCATTATGTATATAATCACAGTTTCTTTATCATCCATCCATCCACTGATGGACACTCAGGTTGCTTCCACATCTTGGCTATTGTAAGTAATGCTGCAGTGAACATGGAGGAGTACGCATATTTTTGAGTTAGTGTTTTGTTTTCTTTGGATAAATATCCAGAGGTGGAAGTGCTGGATCATATGTCAGTTCTAATTTTAACCTTTTGAGTAACCTCCATACTGTTTGCCATTGTGGCTGTACCCATTTACATTCCTCCCCAACACTTGTTATTTCTGGTCCTTCTGGTTCTAGCCATTCTGACGGGTGTGAGGGGACATCTCTCTGTGGTTGTGATTTGCATTTCCCCGACGATTAGCAATGTTGAGCATCTTTTTCATGTACTTGTTGGCCATCTGCACCTCTTCTTTGGAAAAAAATGTCCATTCCAGTCCTCTGCCCATTTTTAAATTGGAGAGTATTTTTTGGACTTTGAGTTGTATCTGTTCTTTATATATTTTGTATATTAATTCCTTTTCAGATACATGATTTGCAAATATTTCCTCCCTTTCACTATTACTTTTTAAAGTCTTTATATTGCTATTTTAAATTTTATTTATTTATTTTTTATCCTCACCTGAGGACATTTTTGCATTTATTTTCAGATAGAACAGGAGGGAAAGAGAAGAGAGAGAAACATCAACATGAGAGAGACACATCGAGTAGCTGCCACCCACACAGCCCCAACCAGGGCCGGGGACAAACCGCAACCGAGATATGTGCCCTTAGTGGGAACTGAACCTGGGCCTCTCTGGTCTATGGGCTGCCGCTCTAACCACTGAGCAAAAATGACCAGAGCTATATTGCTATTTTAAATTATTGAATTTTTAAGTGATTACTTCATTCACTATGGCAGCAAACATATACTTATTAAATACAGCTGGTGCACCCAGCTGGTGTGGCTCAGTGGGTGAGCGACGACCCATGCACCAAGAGGTGGCTGGTTCAATTCCTGGTCAGGGCACATGCCCAGGTTGTGGGACTGATTGCCAGTGGGGGGCATGCAGGAGGCAGCTGATCCATGTTCTCTCTGATGTTTCTCTTTCTCTCTCCCTCTCTCTCTCAAATCAATAAAGAAAAAATAAATAAATACAGGTTGTGTGACATTTCCATGTTTGTTTTTTTTTCCCCAGGCAATCTTCACAACCTGGTGGGGTAGCTAGCCTGCTCCTCATTTCACAGCTGAAAGGAAAACGTTTATACACAAGCTCTAAGGGCAGGTTAGCAGTATCCTGCAGCTTCAATGGGCCTAAACCAGATACCAGGAAACTGGCTTCCAATCCTAGCTCTCACTGCCATCAGCTGAGTGGCCTTGGGCCACTCACTCCCTGCCTTCCTAACAGGGACTGACATTTATCACTGTTAGATTGTAAGTGGCTACTGTAATTTTGTTTTTTTCCTATTTAGCTTTTTTGGGTGGTGGTGGTGGGACTGTACTTTTGTATCTCTCCACTAGTGTCTAGACATAGTAGGTGCTCAATAAATATTTGTAGAGTTGATTGTGGTAGAAGAAAAGTTGTACCTTAAGTGTCTGGTTGGAGAGAAAAAGTCTGCAGGGAAGGGCAAGGCAAAAACTGGGCTCAGAGGCTGTGAGGGTGGGACAGGACTGGGTGGTGGTAGGGAAGGCTTCCTGGAGACGGGGAATTTGGAAAGGCAGGCTTGGAGGAGAAAAACACCCGCTGATGGCGGGGAGGGATGGGTGGAGGACATTCCGATCTGGGGAAGGGTGAGGACAAAGCGGTGCTGGAGAGAGGAGTGTGAGGCCCGAAAGGGGGGTGGGGGGGAAAGAGGTGCTAGCAAGGGGCGGAGGGAGGGCGCGGGAGGGCCAGCCCGGGTAGGGGTGGTGGAGGGGTGTCTGGGGAAACATGTCCGGGGGGCGGCTGGCGGTGCGAGGGGAAGCGTCAGCCAGAGGAAGACCGGGCGAGTGGCAGGAGGGGATGGGGCGGCCTGCCGCAGCAGGGGCGTCGGGGCGCCTTACTACCTTGGCTTGGGCCGCCAGGCTGGTGGCCGCTCCGGCGGGTCTCGCCCCCGCCCGGCCCCTGCCCCCTGCCCCGCCTCCCCGGGGGCGGGCGGCGGGGGCGTGGCCGGGGCTGGCCGGGCCTCCTGGTGGCGCCGCGGCCCCTGCACTCGGCCGGGCTCTGCTGGCTGCGGCAGGAGCGGGACCCGGCGGCGGCGGCGGCGGTGAGTGAGTCGGACGCAGGAGCCGGGCCAGGTGGGTGCGCGGACCCGGACCTGGACCCGGGGGGCCGACGTGTCGCCAAGGGCGGCGGGACCTGGAGAGGCTCGGGCTCTGCCAGGTGCGCCGCACTCAGCACGCGCGTCCGCCCTCCAGCACCGCGCAGCGCCCGCCGCCAGGCGCCGGGTCCTCGGGCTGGAAGGTGCGCTCCTGGCGCCCGGCCGCAGCGCGCTGCCCGGGGACGTGCGGAGCATATGGTGGGGATTCCGGGGGCACCCGAAGCGGGGCCTGGGGTCGGGGGAGGGTCTCAGGATCTCCCCTTAGTGAAGAGGGTTTGGTAGTCTTCGCACCCCTACCTCGACCCTGGGGCCTGAGTGACAGCTAGGAGGGAGCCATGGTTCCTCGGGGACCCCAACGGAGCACCCAGTCCCTGTCCTACCCTGTTTTACTTAATGTCCCGGCGTGCTCATCCAGACCATCCCTTAGAAAGAAAGGGCTGGTGGCCGCCCCTCTCTCCCCGGCCTTCTGGGTCCAGGCAGGTAGACCCTGAACGCCCCCGCCTCACTTGTAGCACAGATCCTAGCTTTCCAAGGGACTTTTCCAAGTTGCATCACTGTTTGGCCTGTAGACAGGTGCTTGGCTGTCATGTTGGAGTTAGTTACTCAGGATTTTAAAAAACTGTGTATTTACCATGTGAGTACTTCCTTACCTCAAGGAAGCAGCCCATTTCCAACTCTGCTCAAACACGTTGGGAATTCTTTGGGGGCATTGGTTCTCAAACTTGGCTGCGTATCTAGTGAGTTTTTACAGGTACTGATGTCCAGGTCCCACCTCTAGAAATCCTGATGCAGGTGGGCTGGAGTGCAGCCTGGGCAAGGTGGTGATGATAACGCACCACCACATTTGAGAAGCTCAGCTTTGGGGCTTGCTCCCATAGGCACTTTCTGAACTACTAGAGATTAATTCCGATACAGAAGTCACTTATCTTAATTTCCCTTCAAACTTGTTCACTGCAAACACAACCCTGCCCATGTACTCTTGGCCTGCAATCCACCTGAACAGCGTGATGGCTGGTGCTTTCCAACCTTAGACTGCAGATGGTGCTTTTTTCCTGGAGTTCCCTTTGTTTCTTCCTTTCTGTTTACAGTAAATATTGCCTGGGCACTTTCTGCCAAGGAGGCTGGATTGTAGGAGTTGAAGCCATGAAGTCCTTGCAAGGGTCAAGGTTATCATACTGGGTTGTCTTATTCAGAGAAAACCAAGTAATAGTTTGACTTGTCCTATTTGGAAAGGACTTCAGATTAAAAGAAGGAAGAGTACTTTAGGAATCCAGCTCTTGGAGACTCTGTGCCACAGATAATGATTTTGCATAAATGTGGGGGATTTTCCTCCAAGAAAGCAAGCTAACAAGATTCTGAAGGTTGATACTGTGTTAATGCATGTGCATTTGTGGTTGAGTTTTATTCCCAATGTGTGATTACGCCCAGCAGATGTGACACAGTGTATATTTCTTTCATTTTTTTAATCCTCACTTGAGGATATTTTTCATTTATCATCAGATAGTGTGGGAGGGAGGGAGAGAGAGAAACATTGATGCGAGAGAGACACAGCAACTGGTTGCCTCCCGAATGACCTGACCAGGGCCAAGGACGAACTGCAACCGAGGTATGTGTCCTTGACTGGAATTGACCCGCAACTCATTGGTCCACGGGCCAAACCTCTAACTGCTGAGCCAAACCCACCAGGGCAATTTCTTATTGATAGAATAATTTGAATTTGGGAATTATATGCCATACTATATGGCACATATGAGGTGAGAATTTAGCCACTTGTCAAATGATCTTAAAAATGATAGGGGATTAGGACTAAGAAAAAATTGAATATATATATATATATATATATATATATATATATATATATATATGCTGAATTTGATCAAATGTATTTAATTAAGAAAGTGTGTTTTTGGTGTTAGTGTTATTATTGTGACAGTCTGCAGCCTCCTGGGATCTCGGTTAATTTGCTGTTGGACCTAAGTATGATGTTGGTATTAGATGCCTACCTGGATGTTGCCACCTGGCCACAAACCAGTGGATTTAATTTTTTTTTTCAGTGCTGGCCCTCTACATTGCGTTTTTATTAGTAAGTGGGGTGATATACTTTCATCAGAATGCCCTCCAGAGGGGGAGGAACATTTGTTCATGTCTAGCTCCTAGTGAGTCAAAAGAATATTCATTGGGAAAAACAAGAAATTGTGGAGTTTTGCCCCAGCTGGTTTTTCTCTCTTTCCCACCTTCTGCTACCATGCCCTGCCCCTATGGCTGTATCCGATTGCTGGGAGTGAGGCAACTGTCGGAGCCCTCCTAATTGTCTTGAGAATGGAGGTTATGTGGAGTGCATGGTCTCACAGGGTGGCCCCTGACCCAGACCATATGGAAAGTGTTTCGTACTGTGTGTGTGTGTGTGTTTTTTTTAAGGCCAACAAAACGGAGCCATGTTATTGAATAGTTTATTAACTTGCTAATCTTGCCTCCATTTTGGGAGAAAATGTTTATTTGCAGATGCTGTTCAACTCTTGGTGTCTGAAAAGTTGCACCCGAACAGCAGTAGTTACAGTGTGAGTATAATAGTACATTTTGGAAAAAAGAAAGAAGAAGTGTATGTAAATATGGACCTACAAAAAGATTTATTAGAACATTTCTCACTTCAGGGTAGCAGTGTGAATTTTCTAAACCGATTAGAAGAATGTAAGTGAAGAAAAATAAGATGAAAGAGTTAGGGAGGGCTGCTTCATCTAGAGAAAGGGGATACAGCCCTCAGGGGGGGTCTTTGATTCCTGTTAAGAACAGACTATCCCATTGGCTTCCTTTCGTTCCTTCAAGTAGGGACAGTTAATTTGTTGTACCAATGGGTGGTTCAAGAAATTTAATGGTCTCCTTAACTCCTTTCCCTCTGAAACCCATTTATTTAAGAGATGCTATGGACCTTAAAAAAAAAAACAAAAAAAACCCCACGAGTGATACTGTCCTTTCCCTGTCTTTTCCTCCTCTGACCCTGGCACTAACGGGCATTGAAATGGCTGAGAGGTTGGCATCACAGGAGAAAAACAAAGTTCAAGGGCAATTGAAAAATTGAGTAATTTTCCCTGAATGACCAAGTGCTTACTTTATTCTGTCATGTGACATTGCTGTTATCAAGAAACAAGTTGTGACATGAAAACCCTGAAAATGGGAAAGAAAAAGAAAAAGGGATTTGATGGGAATAGCACCAAGTTCCACTGGCTTTCACAGACTAAGCTCATTGGAGTTTTCAGTCCAACACCCCAGATCACCACCCCTCCCCATTACCTTCTTTCTTCAGGCACTACCCTCCCCCCCAAACCACTATCCCGGGGAGACAGTGCTTCATTTTAAATGCACACCAAGTTTTTGTTGTTTCATTTCTTTATTCACTCGTTTAGCAAATTCTTATAAAGTCCCCACTCCTGGCAAAGCTCTGTGTTCCTCCAGGACTTCTTGGTAAACAGGGTACCGTCCCTGACTTCCGGAGCTTGGAGTCAGCGGGTTACAGTGAGTTGGGAACTTTTAGAATCAAGATGAGCACCGAGAACTGTGGGGGTAGCCAGGGGCCACCTGGCTAGCCTCACCTGGATAGATACCCACTGAAGTCATTGGCACAAGAAAACCTTCACTCTAGTTTAAACTGAAATTTATTTTATTAGGGCCCTCCATCAAGTTTTAAATGACTGAGTTCAGATACTTCTCTGACAGAGGAGAGGGAAGGGGGCGGCCACTGATCACACAGAAGTAGGGAGTGAAGAAAGAGGAGGCAGATTCAGGCAGATGCGTTTTGCTCAAGGGGTATATACTTAACCACCCTGTGCAAGGGTATGTATTACCTGGGGCTGGGAAACTGGTGGAGAATGTGGCTGGATCTATCTTTGGCAAATGATAACTGGCAAAAGGAGCTTAGTTAGCCCAGCCACCTCTGCAGCAGAGCTGGGAGGAGAGGAGGAAGCACCCGTTAGAGCAGCACCTGTGCGTGCGGCGCAGGGGGCTTGGTTTATGTCTCTGTCTCCATCCGGTGTGCAGGCGTTCGTTCTCTGCTCTGCCGTTGTCACTTCAGCTCAGGTTTCCTTGGACAGACTGAAAACTGGACTTCACACTGTTTTTCCCTTGGGAAGGTGGTTTCCAAATAGCTGACCCCCAGGGCTAATAACCCCAGGGTTAGAAGAGTTACTATTTGTTTATTGGCTACCTCCAAGTGCCAGGCAGGGTGCTCAGCACCTGTCTTCCTTCCATGCTCTGAATATGTGCCCTCCTGAGGCAGGTGGCAGTGGCCTCACTTTGCAGATGGGGAAACTGAGGCCCAACGAGGCGCTGGATCTTGGGGCAGCTCACAGCGCTCAGAAGTGGCAGAGCTGAGGGTTGAGGGTGCTGGGGTCTGCCCACTGCTCCTTGTTCCTGGTAAGCAGAGTTGATTAAGAAATTGAATTTTCAGTGCCTTGTTTTTCTAACATCACAGTCTCCTTAGGTCTGGGTTGACTTACTGTTTTCCTCTACTTGAGGGGGTGTAACATTAGACTCAAGATCCCTGCGGGCTTGTCATCCTAAGGGAAGTTTTATGAAACCCTACTTTTCTGGGGTTTTTTTGGAATAGGGTGGATAGTCTCTTCAGAAAGGCTCTGAATGCATCCCAAGTCCTAGGTTAGAGAGACATTATCTCCATATTTTTTTAAGGTCTGCAAACCACTGGATTTCTGTAGGTAATTGGTTGTTGGGTAAGTGATTAGAAACAACATTCAATGTTGAACATTGTGGAGCAGAACCAAGCTGTGAACATTCAGTTGCTGTTTATGTGGTCCTTGAGACAAAAACAAAACTTTGCTGCATAGTAATTACCTCAAGCTCTTAAAATTACAGGTGGGAAGGGCTTAGAGGCCGAATGGAGCTATAATTAGTAAAGCTGAGTTTAAGACAGGGTTGCTGAATTTGTGTTCATTACTACGACGGGCTGCATGAGAAGGATCAGTCCAG